CTTATTAGCCCAATAAAAAAAACTTATTTCAAAGAAATAATTTTGTTAATAAATAATTTCTATAGACAATTTGAAAAAGGATGGGATGGAACAAAATTTTCTAAAAAATAACTACCATTTTTTTTCATACAGGTAATGAATGCTATACAAAGTTGGATAACTTGTTTAATTAGAACTATTCATTTATTTGTTTATTGTTCGAATTGTTATCATTCATTATTCGAATTGCTATCATTCGTTATTCAAATTATCATCCTTTGTCTATTTGAATTGTTATCATTCGTTTATTATTTGAATTGTTGTCATTCGTTTATTTGAATCGTTGTCAATCATTTATTTAAATATTTGTTTTGCTTGAATTATTCATTTTATTTCGTTTTATTATTCGAATTGTTGTCATTCATTTATTCGAACAATTCGTTTTATTCAAACTATTCGTTTATTCGTTTGTTTGAAATATTCGAATTATTCGTTTTATTCACATTTTTAATAGTTTTTTAAATCTGCATTTGGATTCAACCCAGCCTTTCTATCATATTCTGGTTGAAAGCTGAATTGGGCTCTTTTCCAGCTGGTTCACTTTTGCAGGATCCTCATAAGCAACTTGCCTGACAATTTGGTTTGTGATCTGGCCATGACAAATTTAGTGAACCCCGGATTATGGTTCAATCATAAACACCTTTCTATTATTCCATTCCCAAATACCTAAAGATGGGAACCGCAATTAGCCGCAATTCAATTTTTATATACTGCAATTAATTGAGTAGCCATTTTTACAAATACCATGAGCATATCTGATACTAACTTGTAGGGTAAACTGTGAATATTGATTGACATTGACAGTTATGAATTGGCATGGCCTCAAGAACTTATGTAGAATCATTCCATTTGGCTTTTGGATGAATTTTTCCCTCCCACCAAAGTTTCCAAAACTTTATAAGGTCAATATGAAGTGAATCTAGGGTTGGGCTAAAAAGTTTTGGATAAGTTAAAAAAAACAAAAGGGGAATTATCTCAACTGATACCATTTGTACAATTACCATTTAAAAACAACGACATTAATTTTCATATCTATAAAGTTACTGTTTAAGTCGCTTTTGACAAAGTGAAAAAAAACAACGGGTTAATTCACTTGTTTCCCACATAATAATAAATAAATAAATTCTTTTGTTTCGTTTATAAAATACTTTTGTAGTTGGAAACAGTAGTGTTTATTAATTGTCCATTTGGTTATTAGAATAGTATAAAACTCTGAGGTTTTGTTTATTTGCTTTGGCATAAAGCAAAGGTTTTGACGTTTGTTAACCAGTACAGTGTTAACAACGGGTTGTTTAGAAAATTTTCAGTTTCTTTGATTTTAAATAGCATTTATTCATTCTGTATTGTGATATTTCTATTAATTTCATCACCCATAATAATAAATTAGTTTCATACTGATTTCGTTACCCATAATTAGTTTTGTCACCTGTAATAATAATTAATTCGTAATTACGTTTTAAAGAGGGGAAGCATTAATTAATTATGATATGTATTTACAGTAATTGGGTAATTACGTTAAATTTTTTATATTATAGTTTTTTAAGTTCTGACTAGAGCTTCATACAATCTAAAGATATTTTTGGGAATTTTTTTAATGCGTTTACATAAATCATCAACATCATCAAATTTTCTTTTATCACGTTCACTTGAAATTTCATTTGCAATTATTTCTCCCACACCATCTAAAACCCTCAATTCCCAAAATTTTGTTGAATTAATACAAATTTTATTACCACCTGCAAAGAAGGCTTTTTTAGCAAATAAATTAATGAAAGAAAATGGAAAGTTTTTAAAGGGTTGTAAACCTTACTTGCAGCAAATTGAGCACGAGATGAGTACACATTTCCATAAAATTTACAAAATTATCTTTGCTAACAATTAAACATTCTGGTTGCAACCTATCCAAATCAATTGAACATTCACAACTTGACAGAATTAGTAATAACCAATCGTTAATACCAACCTTTTTTGAAACTTCCCCAACTTTTTTACACTCTTCCTTGATCATTTTATCATTAATTTTTTGTGGATTATTTGATTCCATATTTCTCCATTTTGTTTGTAATGCCAATAATTTTGACACTTTTTTTGTTCATTATTGATTATTAAAAAAGTGAATCCATCACAAGCAGCACCATCAGCATTTAAATAAACTGTATAATTGTTAAAATGTGAAATTTTACAAATAGAATTATTATGGTCATAAATAGTGCCATTGGATGGATATCGATTCCTTAAATAACGTATTTTAACTGAATTATGACCAGGAATTTATATATCTTCATCCATAAATGAATTTGAACACAATGCTTCATTTAGCAGTTCTTTTAATTTTAATGTTCTATTTCCAAGTGCTGAAAATAAACATATATGCAAGGCCCAGAATTCAACATTAGGATTAATCATTATATTCCAATAAATTTGTTCATTAGGATTAATCATTATATTCCAAAATTTGAAAATTGATTTATCAGTAGATGCTTTTATTAAAAGCCAAATCCAAAGGTATGGAATATGTATGTAAAATTTATTTTCAGTAGTGTCAACTGGTTCAAACATTATAAAAATAAAATGAATGTACCTGCTGACAATTTTGAGAAGATGGCATTAAGCCTTGAGGAAGCATTAAAGGTCTTGAAACTGTACATGCATTTTTATTACAGCAAGAAAAATAATGCTACAAACAAATAAAATTGGCTAATAAAATTGAAAGATTATCAATATAAACAAACTATATACCAGTGTAAAAAATTGGAGGGGCGGAAGGGGCGGGAGCTAACCAAATTTGGTAATTATTTGCAAAAATATGCTGATAATTACCAAATTTGGTTAGCTCCCGCCCCTTCCGCCCCTCCAATTTTTTACACTGCTATATACTGAATATTGTGTATCATGTGTGACCAACGAAATCACTTCTCTCCTCCATAAATGCACACCCTCCATAAATGCGCGCTGTCTCTTGGTCCCAAGGGGGTACATTTATGGAGGTCTGACTGTAATTCTTTTTGTAACAATATCGTCTGGTCTCCCCGCTTATTTCTTTTTTTAAGCCAATAAACTCCTCTACAAACTTTTCTTTCTCTCCTCTCCATAATTCCTTCAACCTCTGCCCATCACCCCAATCTTTCAACTTCTTTGTTGCCTCCCCGTAATACCTATTTACTCGATTTAGCTCTTGTTCAGTTTTTTCATATGTCATCATTTTCTAAGATTAAAAAATTTTAATGATAAATTAAGAAGACACATGACTTGGAATTTATTTACGAACGGGCAAAAGAAAATTATTTTTATTTTAACTCAACTAATAATTGAGAAATACATAAATAATTTAAAAATATAAGTTAAAGAATTGTCAGAACACTGGCATGGGGGGAAATACTCGGATCCAAAGCCATTTGTAAGCATTACCTATTCTTTGGGCACTCTGACAAAAAATTCAACTTCACTATTACTACTGCTATTATTATCAATAATGTTATCATTAATATTTGTATCCTCTTTGCTTCATTATTCTCATAAAATTCACTCACCACTTCTTTTTTTCTTTATTAACCCATTCCTGAATTCTTCTATCGTTTTCTTTCTAGGATTTATTTTTCGTTGGTAGAAGTTTTTTAATAGTAGAGGCGGTAACTCTTTTCTTTTCTCTCCAAGTAATTCACGAATTTCATTAGCCATTTTGTTGAATGAAAAATTGGGATTCAATCCAATATTTTTACCAAATAATTGCTTAAAATCCTTCCATATATTTCGAATATTTTCTATCATTAGTAAATCTGTTTATTTTATTTTTGAATTGGCTTTTCCTTGGTTCGATTTTATCAATCACTTGATCAATCATTTGATTTTTAATACAGAACTAATTTATAATGAAGTAAGAAACCAACCAAGAGTCCAGTTAACGATCTTCAAACAAAGTTCACAGTTGAAAGTTTTTTTATTTTTTTTTTATTGGCAAGCAATATAATATGATGATATTTGCATAATAATTAAGGAAAATTTTCTTTGTAAAAAGATCAATATTGCAATAATAATAACATCATTTTCCTTCTAAAGATTTCTACTTTTTGTTGGGTAACGGTGCATCTTCATTCTGCTTTCTTTTCTTAATGTTTATTATTTTTCTTTCCTTAGATAAGCTTCCAGTATCTGAGTATCATTTATTTTGAAAGCGTAAGGAGCAATTTTTTCACCTTGTTCTTTCTTCAAAATACTTCTAATGGCGCTGTAATTAGCCTCATATTAACTATTTTTGTTTAAAGATAATCCTAAGCAAAAAAGCAGATATCATCACGATCACATTACATTGGTAATAAATACAATTGTCTGGTTTTGTTGCAGTATACCCCATATGCAAAATCACGTTTTCAATTTACAAAAAAATTATTTACATAATAATATTCAAAGAAACTTTATAATTATAAGTAAAATAGTAGTTTTTACCTTGGCCATCTAGATAACTTCAATATCCATATACTTTTACCAGAGGCAAGGAAAATCAAATAGTAACTTTCAATACACCACTTAATTGGTGGTTGACATTCTATGATGACATTGATCATCTTCAAAATATTGTAATCAAAATCTTTTCTCTTTGTCTTCATAGTGCCAATGAAAACTCTTGAATAACATTGTCGACTTAAATCCATAAGTTTTAGAAAAACAGGAATACATATCAAATAAACTAATTGTTGAGAGTTGTTTCAGTATCAAGTGCTTGGATGAAGACTTTTGTAATTCAAGGAAACCATCTTGGTTAAGACATTAATTAGATTTTTTTGTAATCAGAGGCATCTTTTTTTTAAAAAAACAATAATTTTATAAACACTTGCTTTGTTGAATCTTTTATCCTTTTTTCAATCTCTATTTCCGCAATTAATTTTTTATGGTTGAGAATTACTTTTAAAACCAAATTGGCATCTTTTCGTCAAATTCCCATTTAAAAATCAACCTATGGTAAACAGACCCGAAATTTAGAAAAAGTTTGAAATGAACTTTGAAAATTAATCTGCACCTGCATATTAATATAATGTAATTACTCGTTTGAAATTATTGTCATTATTAGAAGTTGTCAAAGGAGTTGTATTAGTTGTTGTTGATGATAGTGATGGCAGTGAGTGAGTTCGCACTGTTGATGAATTAAAAAACAATAATAATTATGATTAATAACTAGAATGGCGAGTTGCAGACCGATAACCACCACGATACTACTACTAAAATAACTTGTAAGAAACAATCATGCAATACCATTCTTTTTAGATAACTAGTAATAACACTTACTCAAAATGTTGTTGTTTGACATACACAACTAAGCCCCTATTGTTTTTTTTTTGGGCGCAAATTGATTTTTTTTGGAAAAACAATCAAGAGTCAGCCCAAGATGACAAACATGGTTGGTTCTGCTAAGAAGAAGTGTAGTTTATTAATAGCAAGAGGTACACCCCTTCGTTCTAAAGTAGTAGTAGAGGATGTTATCTTTCCGAACTTTACGGTATTAGTATATTATTATAAATAAAAATACGTAAGACGATCTGCCGAAACAATTTTCATTGGATTAATTATTTATATGCATTAGATAGTGTATATCGATCCGAATCAATTTATTTATATATACTGTATATATTGAATCAGGCGGGTGCGAATTAATGAATCAAAAGTTAGGTGATTCGTTGATTCGTTCCGAGACTTAACTAGAATGGACTAATTCTGAACTGCTAGAACAACCTATAAGCCAAATCCATCAACTTCAGACAAAACTATACCAAATCTATAATGTACTATTATTCCATTATCTCTCAAAGGTAAAATTTTCGATTATTGTTTGAATATGGAAAAAAAGGAAATTGAAGAAAATAAGAGTCTAAGAACAAATTAAAGATATATATATATATATATCATAAAGGTTTAATTTTAATTTTTCTTATTTGCCTTTTTAAATTTTGAATAGAAATTCATTCATAAGATCCAATAAGTAAACTACACCGTCCATTTCAATCGAAGCATCCCATTTTAAAACAAAAAAATATTGTAAACGCATGTCTAAACAGGTAAATCAAGAATAAATTTGTCCGTGGTTCGTTTTTTCGGGAAAACTCTATATTGATACTAACACTAATCTCGAGTGTTTAATTGTAAATAAAATACAAGTGTAATGTTACGACCCTTGGATTTTTATTAGAAATGCACCCGCAGATCATTAATAAATAAATGGATATTAATATTGTTGTGTATCAATATATATATTTGTTTCATATATACAGCATATTGGTGATACTTGTTTCAAATTAATTCTTTCGAAAAATTTAAAGAAAAAAAAAAAGTATTCTTTTAAAAATGAAGACGTCTTTTATTTTATTTACAATTGGAATTGTAACTTTATTTTCTACTTTAACTATGGCTACTCCGGTTGCTGAAGCAGAACCTCAATTCACAAGTTAGAAATCATCCTCATCATTACTAAAATATTAATTTATTAGAGATTTTATATTAATTAAAATAATATTAATATTTTTTAGATTCTGAAGGAAATGTTATTTTGATGGATTAAAATATCATTTATTTATCATCGTTATTATCATCATCACCATCATCATTTGTTTTTAAAAAGTATGTTAAAAAATTTCTATCTCAATAATAACAACATTAATATACTTTAATATCAATACTAAACTTTTTATTTATTTTATCTTAATATATTTAGTTATTTTATTTTATTATTTTATTATTAATAATTAATTATACTTTTTTCTTTATTACTAATTATAAATTCACTTTTTGGGAGATTAAAAAATGTATTATTAAATTATTATTATCTCATATTATTATCATTAAAAATTTTTAAAGGTTTTATCTGATAATTTGAGTGTGTGAGAGATTATAATACATGGAAGTTTGAGATAAATTTTATGATTAATAATTTATAATTAATGAAAATATTCTCCCATCTAAAATAATGGCATGGATGAATTATCTTGATTTTGTATATTCAAGCAATTAGGAAAATATTTGTGATACTTTGATTCCAGAACATTACAACAGATATTTATATGTAATTTTTCATTCATAGGCA